ACCTCCACACCAAGACAAACACAACTGGAAAGGGAGGGAGGGCTTCACTTCTGCGGCTCTCTGCCTTTCTGTGATCAATGTGTGCTACACTGCTGTGCTGCGCGGAGGGAAGAAAGGTATCGGAACTCGACAGAACCTCAACACTTCCCGACCTGATATTTTGATTTTTTTATTTGTTTGACAGAGAAAGCTGTGCGCAAACAGAAACATACACACGCACACATAATACATACGTATATTCTTTTATTTATTTAAAAAAAAAAAAAAAAACTCCCCAGAAAAAAGGGCACTTTCTCTCAAGGAAGAAAAAGGGCAGGTGCTCAAGCCCCCTTTTATGTCTATGTGTGCACGTGCCTGGTTAACAACATCAGCATTGCGTGACTACGGGTATGTAGTGTGTATTAGCATGTAGATTTCAATTTCTGTACGGTCTAATCTCTAATTGTCATACCTTTTAACCCAAAAAGCAAATTATTCTTCCTTCAAACTGGTTTTCTTTGAAATACAAAACTTGTGTAATCCCAGGCTATCTGTAAACAGATGCACATTTAAAACTAGAATATAATCTCATTTCAGTGACATGTGTTTCATAAACACATAGTCCTTTCTGGATTACAATCCGCCATCAAAATGATACATTTAATTATTCCAGCTGCTGTGAGAAAAGGTTATAAACGATCCGCAATAAACACATAGTCCTTTCTGGATTACAATCCGCCATCAAAATGATACATTTAATTATTCCGGCTGCTGTGAGAAAAGGCTATAAACGATCCGCCACCTGCAGGATCCTCACATGCAATATAGCATATCAGCCGGGAAAACTTCTTTGTTTACAGACGTGACGTAATAATGACGCAGCTGCATGCTCGAATTTCCTGCGAATTGCTGTACCACTCAAATTAGAAAACATTATTATAAGCTAACCATTGTGTAAGTAAGGCGATCGTTTTGAACACTGGCTGGTTATGTACTCGCACTTGATTTCGGATCATTTTTAACCAAAAAATGTTACTGACTGCAGCTTCAATAAGCAACAGAAAGAGATGCATACATGCAGTATGTGATGCACAAAACAAATATACAACACCCTACACACTGCTTATACTATTTTACTATTTGCTATTTATTTAACACATCCTTGCAAGACTGCATCTGATTATAAATTATTTTGTATATACGTATTTTACATATATATTTCTGTTTCTATTTATTTATATATACATACACACAGAGGTGATCAAAATTTTTTGAATAATTAATATTTTTGAATGACGTCACACCAAGGCTGCATTTGTATGATCAAAAATTACAGCAAAATATTTTGAAATATTATTACGCTCTAAAATAGCTGTTTGCTATATAAATAAAGTTTAAAATTAATTTATTTACATGACAGAAAAGCTTAATTTTCCAGACACCTGAAGACTGGAGTAATGGCTGCTGAAAATTCAGCTTTGTCATCACAGGAATAAATTACATTTTAAAATATATTCATATAGAAAACAGTTATTTTAAATTATAATAATATTTTACAATATAATATTTTATAATAGTTTTTACTGTATTGTTGACTGAATAAATACAGCCTTGGTGAACATCTTTCTTCTTTCAAAAACATTAAAAAAATCGTAATTATTACAAACTTTTGACTGCCATTATATATTCATCTTATTTTATTTTTATTGTTTGTGTCTTATGTGTCTGATCTTTATTCTCAGGGGACAGTTGGGAATGTAAGTCTGTCTTGGCCGATGGACACCAGCGTACGGTCAGAAAGGTGGCCTGGTCTCCCTGCGGGAAATATCTAGCATCAGCCAGCTTTGATGCCACAACATGCATCTGGAAGAAGACGAATGATGATTTTGAGGTTTGTTTTTGCATAAGCATAGTTTCAGACCCTTAAAAATTGAAAGAAGTGACATTGTTAACATCTCGTCGGACTGACATGTCCGTCATGTGTGTTTACAGTTCCTGACAGTGCTAGAAGGTCATGAGAACGAGGTCAAGTGTGTCACCTGGGCTCCGTCTGGAAACTTACTGGCCACCTGCAGCAGAGACAAAAGTGTTTGGATCTGGGAAGGTACATCAGGAAGTGATAAATGAATAGTCTCTCTATAGCAAAAATACAATTTGTTTTCTTTAGAATGACATGAACTAATGAATCGTTCATAATAAGCCAAGGAACGTGCATTAAGAAAGTAACATTTTTATTTCATTTTCACTTTAAGGTTTGACTTTGAGTTTAAGGTAGCAATTTTAAGTTATATGTATCATCATACAGGGTTCCCACGCTTCTTGAAAGTACTTGAAAGTGCTTGAATGATAGGTGCTTGATATAAAATAAATGGTGCTTGAAAAAGTCCTTGAAAGTCCTTGAATCTGGTGTTCATGAAAGAGTGGGAACCCTGATCATAATTCCCCAGTTGATTCATCAAAGTACATTAAGACAACTGTTCTGTATTGGAAAGGTTTTTTAAATATAAAAATTAGAAATTATTAAATTAAATATGTATACAGTATTTGCATACATTTCCAGAAATCTGATCATTAGATAAAGCCAAATTCTTGTTTCATTTTGATGATATAGTCAAAGGTTTTACAAAAGGAAAACTGGATATCTAATTGAATCACTCCATAAATCAGAAAATACTGTCAGCAGCCTGGAAAAAATATGTATATATTTTTCACCATGTTTTAGGAATAAAATGTTATATAAATCAGGCAAATGATATATGAACAAACCTTCAGAATATAGATTGGAATAAAACTGTAAAGTTCTGTTCGTGTAAGTGCTACTAAAGTGGAGATTTCTGGCTTAAATATTTTAAGAAAACAGCCTTGTATTGTAATTTAAATCTACAGACACAAATAGATAAAATATATAGTTCAGTCATGAAACTCTAGATGGCGCAGGCTGACGGGTTGTTAACGTAACTGATGATATTCAGAGAGTTAAACGACTTGGCACAAGCTGATTGGTTCATGCTGCATATGCAGCCAATGAGCTTACTGCCTTGCATTTATATGGCTGGCTAGCATTCACTTGAGATTTTGCAGCGCGCTTTCAGAATTTCTCTGAAACCCTCCACCTTCCCCAGCTCCACCTGTATAGATCTGCTACGGGGTTATTTTATATGCTATTTGTGCAGCAGCAGTATGTCTTAAATACTCATGGCACTGTATCGCCATATGCATTGGCAGTAGCAAGTTCCTGTACTTGCTTGCAGCAGCAGCAATAATCTACAACTACAGCAATAAACAACAGCAGCAGCAATTCAGCAGCAGCATAGCAGATCTGTTCCGCCAAGACCAAATACATTAACATTGTCATATCCATCACCATGCTAAAATCTTCCGAGAGTTCTCATAATTGAAATGTAATAAAATAAACACTTAAATGTGTATTTTGGATGTTTTCTTTCCGCTAGTCTGAAAGTTATGCTAGTAAAATAACCCAAAAATCTCAAAATTGATCAGTGCATGAAGAAACAGTAGTTTTTCCTGTAGTGTCTTTCCTTAAAGTAATTATTAAGATTACTATTATTTGTGTTAAAACCTTTATTTTCCTTCTAGTGGACGAGGAGGATGAATATGAGTGTGTAAGTGTTGTGAATTCACACACGCAGGACGTGAAGCATGTCGTTTGGCACCCAACACAGGAGGTATGATATTGACATGCATGTTATCCGGCGCTCACATTATTAATGTTTTCACACAAGTAATGACCAGCTGTTTCTTGTAATTTTCGTTTGCAGCTTCTCGCATCAGCCAGTTATGACAACAAAGTGTGTATTTATAAAGAGGAGGATGATGACTGGGGATGTAGAGCCACGTTGGAGGGTCACGAATCCACCGTTTGGAGTCTGGCCTTTGACCCTGAAGGACAGAGATTGGCGTCATGTAGCGATGATCGTACCGTGAAGATCTGGAAGGAGTCAACGCCTGGAGATGGTGAGAGCGTGAGGATTTCAAAACGTTTCTTATGTACAGTTTTGTCCTATGTTGCTATTTTGAATAGTAAGTCTGTAGTTCTTGGCTTGGCTGTGATGGTGATTTTGTCGCAGGTTCAACAGATGAGTCCTGGAAGTGTGTGTGTAACTTGTCTGGATTCCATGGGAGAACAGTATATGATGTTGCATGGTAAGATGCACTGTGTTAACTTCAAGTCTTAACCCTATAAAACCTACTGATTTATATTTAATGCGTGAATTTACAAGGCCTCTATATTATCAACATGATCAAAACTGCTGAAAACCTGTTGAACACAATCTACTTTACTCCATTCCTTCTGTCGTCTGATTGATAGTTTGTATATTTTTGTATATTTATAGATTGTATATTTTTAGCAAGCAAAAGGCCGTTTAGTATAATTGTACAAATATCCACCTTCAGCTTGTGCTTCACGTGTCTTTTTGCTATGAAATCTTTACTGATTTTTCCAAAGCAAATATTAGAATATTTTTTATTGTTAGTAATATTTCAAAATGAACATTTACTTCACCCTTGAAAGTCATAATAAGCGATGTCCGACTTTGGAAACTATAGTTCTCTCCTTAACCCTCATCCATCCCTCGGGTCATTTTGACCCAAAACTGATTTTCTTAAAATTCTAAAATTCGTGTGTTGATTGTACCGGACTTTTGTCACACTTGCACCGGGAATACACAAAAAAAAATTTAGTGGATTCGAGGAGTTTAAATGGGTGCAATAAATAGGATCCTATAGGCCCCTCTAGTGGCTGTAACCATAAAATGCAATTTTATGTCATTTTTCCCCACCAGATGAAACAGGACTGAAATTGTGTCTTTATTTGTTTTGTTTTGTTTTTTTGTGAAATAATGTACAAAAACTGCTTATTTGCTTATATTTTCTTAAAAATATCCAGAATAAAAGGTAAATATAATAAAAATCACCAAAAAAATAACAGAAAAACCTACATAAATATTTAGAAAAAAAATTATTAAAATGGATCAATATAAGATTTCTGGACCCAAAAAAAATTAGTGTCATTGTTAGCCTTCGGGTCATTTTGACCCGTGAGGGACACTTGTTATAGGTTCGGGGGGTTAAATATGAAGAGGTCAAGCAACAGATTAATGAGTTACTCCAAATTCCACAAAAAGCTTATGGACGTAATTAAAATACAAATCAGACATTGAAGTGTTGCTGTTTTTGTTACTCTTCTGAGGAAGATTCATTTACTTGTTTTGGTAATGTACCCACACAGAGAACATTTTGGTCAGATTTTAATGTTCATCCACTCTTATTTTGCAAGTGACTTTTCTTTCTTTTTTAAAGATGTTTTCTTTGGATTGTTTGACAACTCAAAAGAGAATATAGGAAAATATAACTTAATTTGTGTTTCCTTCTAGCTAAATTTCACATATATAAACAAAAATCTGTCTAAATGTCTATTTATTTTTTTTTTTCAAAGTTGATCTAGACAAGTACATAGAAACTATCCAAAGTTCTGTTAATCCTAAAGCAGCAAAAACTTCATCTGTGTTCATCCTATGCGTCCTCTTAATCACAGATTAACCATAGTTTTGCTACTCTAACCATATTTTAACCATGGTTTTTGTAGTAAAACTGTGGTTATACCAAAAAACATGGTTACTACACTTTTACTATAATAAAACCATATTTAATTTTCTGAAGGGATTTGTGTTTGTGTATGTTTTCTTTCTTTGTTTTTTCTTTGTTTTGTTTTTATAACTGTACTGCCTTAAAGGGTTAGTTCACACAAAAATGAAAATTCTGTCATTAATTACTCACCCTCATGTCGTTCTAAACCCGTAAGACCTCCGTTCATCTTTGGAACACAAATTAAGATATTTTTGATGAATTCTGAGAGCTCTCTGACCCTCCCATAGACAGCAATGTAATTACCACAATCAAGGTCCAGAAACGTAGCAAGGAAATCTGTAAAATAATCCATGTGACATCAGGGGTTCAAACGTAATTTTACGAAGCTACGAGAATACTTTTTGTACGCAAAGAAAACAAATAACGACTTTATTCAACAATTCGTCTCCTCCGCTAATAAAGAACTAAGAAAGAACGTAAACAGCGTATGCTATTCTGTCAGGACGCAGCTGACACAGAATAGCATACGCTGTTTACGTTCAGTGGATATATATGGGGAAGTCGTGGCCTAATGGTTAGAGAGTCGGACTCATAACCCAAAGGTTGTGGGTTCGAGTCTGGTACCGGCAGAGATTGTAGGTGGGGGGAGTGAATGTACAACGCTCTCTCCCACCTTCAATACCACGACTGAGGTGCCCTTGAGCAAGGCACCGAACCCCCAACTGCTCCCCGGGCGCCGCAGCATAAATGGCTGCCCACTGCTCCGGGTGTGTGTTCATGGTGTGTGTGTGTTCACTGCTGTGTGTGTGCACTTTGGATGGGTTAAACGCAGAGCACTAATTCCGAGTATGGGTCACCATACTTGGCCACATGTCACGTCACTTTTTATATTCTCCAAAATGGCACCAGGGTGACGCGGAGGAGACGAATTGTTGAATAAAGTCATTATTTTTGTTTTCTTTGCGTACAAAAAGAACGGGGGTCTTACGGGTTTAGGACGACATGAGGGTGAGTAATTAATGACAGAATTTTCATTTTTGGGTGAACTAACCCTTTACGAAATCAGGAAAAAAAAGATTTGCAAACCTGCTCCGAAGTCCCAATCTAAATCAAATGATTCGCGATACACAACCCGATTGGAGCGTTCCGAAACCGTGAATCATTTTGCGATGCAGTGGTTTAATTGATTCGGAGTTTTGAAAAGCTCAGTTTCACCCATCTACGTGCTTTTTAAAATCATTACAAGCGATGTCAAAATTCGAAATGAATGGCTCGTTTGATCTGGTTTTTGCTAGTGAATTGCGTGAACTGAGTGATCGAAGTCACGAGTTTGAATGGTTCCAGCGTAAATAACTCGATCAGTTGATCCGGTTTGTCCGTTCTTCTTTTCACATCTTCAGCCATTTACACAACACTGTCAATACTACTACTGGCTTAGCTAGCTAGTTTTATGATATTAACTGAAATAAACCAAAAAAAGTATGATGTTTACAAATTAAATATAAATATTTCCATTCCAAAGATAACATCCAACACAAATCTACGAACATATTCAGGTGAGGTAACTGGTTCACAGCTAACTAGTGAAACACTCCATTAATAGGATGAGCTGCAGCTTAAAATGTTAGATGGAAACATTGTGCATTATGATGAATTATGATAGTTGTTGGGAGCAGAGGTATCCGAGTCTTCAGATATTTTTTGTAAAATGGTCTGTTGAAAGTTGAATTTTTAAACTCTAAAGTGTTGCTATAAATACTCTGTGTTTTCCTTAGATATTAGTTTTAGAGAAGATACTGCATACCCTGAATTTATTTCTTAATTTATCCCTAATTTATTCCTTATTTTCTTTAATTGTTCTTAATTGGTCTATTAATTTTTTTTAAAGACATGTATGAATTTAGCTTTATAAATGTATATTTTTATATTTATGTACAGATAACCCTGTCATTGGCTCAGAGTTCAGAAGCGATGTATGTAATTGCAGGTGCATGTAATTTTTCTTAATTTTGACATGTTAAGGTGTCGTCTGACCGGTGCCCTGGCCACAGCGTGTGGTGATGACGGAGTCCGTGTGTTCAGAGAAGACCCCACTGCTGACCCAGAGCAGCCTGTCTTCTTCATGTCAGCCCATGTGCCCAAAGCCCACGGTCAGGACATCAACTGCGTGTCCTGGAACCCAAAGGAGGCGGGACTGCTGGCCACCTGCAGTGACAACGGAGAGTTATGTAATTGCAGGTGCATGTAATTTTTCTTAATTTTGACATGTTAAGGTGTCGTCTGACCGGTGCCCTGGCCACAGCGTGTGGTGATGACGGAGTCCGTGTGTTCAGAGAAGACCCCACTGCTGACCCAGAGCAGCCTGTCTTCTTCATGTCAGCCCATGTGCCCAAAGCCCACGGTCAGGACATCAACTGCGTGTCCTGGAACCCAAAGGAGGCGGGACTGCGTGCCACCTGCAGTGACAACGGAGAGTTTGCCATCTGGAAGTACAACTCTGATTCCTGAGCTGGTGAATGACACTCGATCAGACAAGCACTGAATGAATTTCAACTGCTCAATGCATAATGAGGAACAATAGCTGTTTTTATTCTGGCTGTGAGTGAGGAAACTGTGTGTATTGGCAGCACTGGTGAAATGGATTGAAAGACAATATACTCTTTAACTCACATCACTCTTTGTTTTTGATGGGATATCAGAATTGTTTTTGACAGTATGGATATATTTTAGCTGTATCTGTGGCTTAAAATACCTTCAGTGCTTTAATTAAATAAAGATAAAACATCCTGATTTTTCTTTTTATCATGTCTCAGAACCATCCGTTTAGATTGATATTAAACATATTCAAAGTCTGTTAAGTGAATTCATCTATAATAGTTGTGTTAAAGTAATGTTCCACTTTTATTAGACCTTTGTCAGGGTAAATACTGACTTTTTGACAGGAATGAAAGCAAGACTGTGACAGATAGAAGTATAGTGCGTTTAGTGGATTGAACTGTTGTTTAACAACATGCTGATTCTGGGGGGAAAAAACTTTCAGTAAACAAAAACTCGAGGACCTTCATGCAGTGTGTGCCATTGTAAAGACTGTAAGTCTGTCTTTCACAGCCTCATTTTCAACTGTTAAATGAAATATGGAATCTAACCTGACTAAGGTGTATACAAATTAAAACATACCATGATACAATCATAATAGATGTTTATGGGCATTTGAGAATGTTTAAAAGTAGATCTGCCATTTTTTTTAAACTGCTTTTCTGTATAAAAATCTGTTTGAGCTGTAAAGTTGTTCTAATTGCCCATTTCACAGTAATTTCTACTTTTCTGAACTTTGGTTATAAGTTACTGATGAAATATTGGATATTTTAAATGGACAAGGTTCTGTTTTGACAAATTTTTCACAACAAGCTGATGTCTAACACTGTCTTGTGGTTATACTCTCAGTTAAATTGTGTTGAAATTATTTTCTGATGTTACATCACTTGCTCACCAATGGATCCTCTGCAGTGAATGGGTGCCGTCAGAATGAGAGTCCAAACAGCTGATAAAAACATCACAATAATCCACACCACTCCAGTCCGTCAGTTAACAGCTTGTGAAGTGAAAAGCTGTGTTTGTAGGAAACAAATCCATAATTCCGGCTAATAATAGGAGTCCTAGCAATAATTTTACTTTCTCCACGACTTTTTCACTGGTGGAAATTTTATGGATTATGGACGCGTATTTTATCCAGAAGCAGTGGTTTAATGTTAAAACACCTTGATGATGGATTTGTTTCTTACAAACACTCACAAGACATTAACTGATGGACTGGAGTGGTGTGGATTACTTGTGGATTATTGTGATGTTTTTATCAGCTGTTTGGATTCTCATTCTGACGGCACCCATTCACTGCAGAAGATCTATTGGTGAGCAAGTGATGTAATGCTACATTTCTCCAAATCTGTGCCCATTAAGAAACAAACTCATCTACATCTTGGATGATCTGAGTGTTAGCAAATTTTTAGCAAATTTCGTTTTTGGGTGAACTATTCTATTAAGTCATATGAACTAATAATGTCATGTTTCATAAAACTATTACAATAATATATGGTTTGAAGTACGAAGCAGAAGGTATATGATAAAAACTCATTCTAAAGTAAATAAAGAACAAGTCTGATGAATTGCAGGGTGAACTTTATTTAAATAATTCAAAGTTTTATGCATATAAATGTTACAGAACAAGTGTTGGTCACTGGATTGTGTTTCCTAATATATGAAAAAGGGGATTCAGAACACCAAACCATTTGTAAAACATCATTTGTCATGTGCAGAGAAACATCAGTGAGGTCCTTATGGAAAAATCAGGTGCGTGTCATCAAAAAACTGTCAAATAAATGTTGAGTATACAGTAGTTCAAAAAGAGCACAAAAAACCAAACAGTAGTTTACTTTCTGTGTTCAAGTCAACTGTACATGTGTAATCAGGGTTTTCTGCCTTTTTTGCGCAGGGACTGTCCTTCCCCAGAGAACGCAATGAAGTTACTGATTGTATCATCCTGGAGACAAGAAAATATGATTTTCTTATTATTCAAGTAAGAAGAGATTTGCAAAACCTCTACTTAACAGTATCTCAACTTAAACTGTCAGTGATTAATGACAAAATTTTTATTTTGGGGTGGAGTATCCCTTTAACAGTGACAATTTACTTAATTTGTGAACATAGAAATGTGGATTTGTTTAAACCCTAAATATTATTTGCCCTGTAATTTCACTTACTGTTTCAGTTTTGCGGGGCTGTTGTCTGGAGTTACGGATGAAGGTGATCCTTCCCATTTTGAAATCATAGTTAGGAATTCCTCTGTATAAAATATGTTAAAAATAAAAAGCAATTAAAATGAAAGTTCAACTTAGACTGCGAGAATGAGAGGTAGTTGGTCAGTACCGTTTGATGTCACTGGGATCGAGGGCTGCTGGACTGGGTTCAATGCCTTTTTTCTTCCCATCTAGACGATTTCCAGAACCGGTAAAGGCCTGTGGAGAAAAACAGGAAGGAAAGGCACCAATGTATTAATTGAAGTGGACAAGTCTTAATTTATCAAGGTAACATTTGATTTTAAATATTATATGAAGGTGCACTGCAGTAATGATAATCATTGCTTGACTTACTCTGAAACCGATGTCCATCTCATAGTTACTGGGATCCGTCTCCTCTTCCTACAGCAGAATGGTAAACATGAGCATTAAGAACAACTTATGTGTGAATTATAATACTGAGCTGTCATGTGATGCAAGGGATTTTTGTTTGTCGGAACATACTGTTGGTTCTTCAGGATGCTGCATGTGTCTCTCTGGTTCTTTGTAACCAAGAGGAGCATCAAAGTCCACCTCGAAGGCAAAAATTGTGTAATTAGAGATACATTGAGGTATTCAGGTAATATAATACAGATTTGATAAAACATAAAATGTATAGCTCCATTCGAACGCTTGGGTCAGTAAGATTTTTAATGTTTTTTTTAAGTCTTCTGCTCACCAAGACTGCATTTATTTGATCAAAAAATAGTCAAATCAGTAGAATTGTGAAATATTATTACGATCTAAAATAACCGTTTTCTGTTTGAATATATTTTAAAATGTAATTTATTCCTGTGAAGCAAAGCCGAATTTTCAGCATCATTCCTCCAGTCTTCAGTGTCACATGATCCTTCAGAAATCATTCTAATATGCTGATTTGCTAATTAAGAAACATTTTTGATTATTATTAATGTTGAAAACTTCAAAAGAACAACATTTGAGATAGAATTCTTTTTAACATTATAAATGTCCTAACGTATCAAATTTGATCATTTTAATGCATCCTTGCTGAATAAAAGTATTAATTTATTTATTTCAAGTCCTACTGACCCAAACCTTTTGATCAGTAGTGTATATATGACTGTTATTTATTGTGTGCTTATATATTAAATAAGCATCCCTACATTCATATCACACTCAATGATGGACACAGCCTTGTCTGGTTTGGTCTCCATGACACGTAACTCATAAATCTGGAAGACAGAAATTTCTGGTTTAGTGCATCATGGTTTTTACCACTTGAATCATTATTATACTGATTAACAGACATAATCACCTTTTCATTATAATTGATAGCGATTACGTCTCCTGTGGTCAAACAGGCGAAATTCCTCAAAGCATTTTCTAATCTGAAAACATATTAATATTACAATTTGAATAAATCAGCACATTCAGATCTAGATATTGGCTGTTATATTGTTCAAAATATTTTGCGTAAAAGGTGTATGTTATTTATATATTTACACAGCTTTGGGATTTGTGATATCCAGGAAGTCTGGACTCTGCGGCTGGAATTTGGAGTATGTGGCCACCATGAGATTCACACTCTCCACCTGGACCAAGCCACCCTCCTCCAACAACAAGTTCTGCATCATCTGAGGACAAAAAACATGATCAAAACAATAATGTGTCAAAGAAAAATGCCAGCAAGATCCAGTACGAGTCTATCTGCTGTATGTGTTATACCCAGTGAGGGAGGTAACAGATGCCTTCATCTGCCACAAACTCCAGAACCCCACAGTGTGTCATTCTGTCTGAATTCTTGTTGGTGAGTTTGAACAGCATGGGGTATGTGATGTTAAGTCTGCCTGAAAAACAAACCACATGTGAAATCAATATACGAGACATCACTGGAAATACAGATATTTTCATATTTAATTAAATGCATGTAACTTACTCAGCTGGTCCAAAGCAGACGGGGGCATAATTACTGAGAACACAACATAATATCTGCATTAGTTCAGTGAAATGTAACCCAGAATCTACTAAATAAATTCATGGTTTCGCCTTGCTTTGCTTTACAGTATTATAGACCATAACATACTCTTTCCTCCTTTCTCCACATCTGAGCGGTCGTTGGGTCCTGCCAGCATGGACACAGAATAACACCGGTACTGAGTGGAGAAACGGTTCTGGAAAACCCGGCCCACGTGGGGCTCAAACATGTTGAAGGAGAACTGATGGAGGAAGAGGACAGAAACAGTCAAAACACAAACTTTTAACAACACATTATCTGTTTGTATTTGTGTGTGTGTGTGTGTGTGTGTGTGTGTGTGTTCAGAAAATTGACCCTTATGACTGGTTTTGTGGTCCAGGGTCTCACACACATATATATATATATATATATATATATACACACACACACAATTAATGTTTATCAGTAGACTATGAGTTTATTTAACAAATGCAGTAATAACTGGTGCATTTCTAATAATATTCTCTTCTTATGCTGAAATGTTTATGTATCAAAAAACTCCTCTTCATTAATAAATTTAGATGTCATTTAAATTTTAAACAAACATCCAATCTCCTGAGTTCTGCAACAGTGACAGTGCAGCTTTCTATTGCTTTTAGCTTAGCATTAGCTAGTAAGTTCTAATAGCAAAAACAATAAAAGGTGTCATGCTAAAAGGTAGATTAAAGTCGATTACGCACCATATTAGCGCTTTATCTGACAGCAGAGTATCAGCAGTGATGAGAGAATACTGATGGCAACTCAATAACAAACACAGCAGCTCTCCTTTCAGTGGGAAGTGCGTGACGCAACAAAACAACAACGCGTCGTTCTAAGCCGTAGCCAATCACATCTCTCTTTCAAGCTTCGGTACACGCCCTATATATCAAATGTGTTAAATCCATAAGAAATATAATAATTACAATAACTCTTCAATTAATTAGTAAAATACGCTTTTAAAAAATCTAGATTTTTGTTTTTCTATTAGCGTATTTTGTAC